CGCCGCCCGATCCTCCGGCCTCCGCCAGCAGCCTCAGCAGCAGCAGCAGCAGCAGCGGCAGCAGCGGCGACGACGACGACCGGAAGCGGGCGAAGGCGGGAGCCAGAGGGAGTTCGGGGAAGCGGGTCGGCCGGAGGTGACGTCACCGAGAGGCGGGACGAGGCGGTGAGGGGCGGGGCTTCGGGCGCTGGGGGCGGGGCCGCAGGTGGGGCGGGCCTTAACCTCCGGCAGTCGAGCGAGGAGCGGGAGGGAACCCGAGCGAATGTTTGTGACCTGGACAAGGCTGACTAGGAAAACTTTCTGCTTGTTGTTTTTAATGATCAGTCAACCCTACTTTACTTGAGCCGACTTCAGTTTCTTATCCATTTCTAGCCATTGCTTGAAGAGAACCCATTTGGTATAGGCAGGTCAGAGGAGAATGTACCCCAGGAAGTGGAAACACAGGCTCTCAAGGCCTAGGGGAGACGCAACCGGCTTAGGGAATGTGCATGACCAGGACAGACCGAGCTTTTGTTCGGTCACTAGCAGCCTTCTACAGTCAACTCCACTACAAGAAAATGGAGTCCGGAAAAAAAGAGGTTATGGGCTAAATTCCTGGCAAATGTCACCAACAACCTCCTTGGTTCCCTGCTGCCACCATGACCTCAAACATTAGCTTATTTCAGCTTCAGCCCAGGGAACAGGAAGTTTAACTGGGAGTGGAAAGTAGTAATGTGGGATGTGAATACCTGTTAAATACCAAGTCTGGATTTGAACATACACTGCAAAGCACAGCCTCCTATTGTTTTGGCACAAACCAGACCTCAAGGATGTCCTAGAGCCAGCATGGTGTTAGGGGATCCAAAACCCATAGGTAACATAAGAGGGAGGGCCAGATGAATGTAGAGGGGAAGGTGAATTTCACCAAGGTATTATCCCAAGGCAGTTTCCTTGCTGTAAGACTTCCTGTCCCTCAAAGGACACTTGCCAACCTGCAAACTACTTCAGATCACATCTGGACATGAAACCTGCGAGTAAGGAAATTTGCAACGCTGGGCAAATTACCTATGCTTTCTGTTCCTTTACTGAACGACTGAGTTTAACCTACAGAGACACTAAGTCTTTGAATGTAAACAGACATTTTTAGCAGAAGGAAAAGGCAAGATACTAGTTTACATCTGTGTTAAGACTTACCAAATATATGGTTTATAAAGTGCATCACTCCTTTTAAAATTTATTTATTTATTTATGTATTTAAATTTTTGTAGTGATGAGGTCTTGCTATGTTACCTAGGCTACTCTCAAACTCCTGGGCTCAAGCAGCCCTCTCTCCTCGGCTTCCCAAAGTGTTGGGATTATAGAAATGAACCACCACGCCCGGCTACTCCTTGAGCTGTCTTTCATTACAGATTTTTGCAAGTGTTCTGGGACAACAGGGAGACATTTCTGACCAGAGCAAAGGATAAAGATGGTAGAAAACATTAGATGCAAAAGATGGGACTAGAGGTGGAATAAAATGAAATAAATGAAAACTGAACCAAAGTGCAGTTTCAAAGTTTTGGGGGCAAGGGAGTTTTCTTCATTTTGTCAGGCAGCTTGGAGAGGTGAACAGAGCACAGGTTTTAGAGACATACATACTGGATTTGAATCCCAGTTGTGCTATTTGCAACCTGTGCCATGCAAGACAAATTACCTGTGCTCTTTGGGCCTCATCTGTAATATGGCAATTACAGTGTTACCTCACCCAGTAGTTCCCTGAGCTAACAAAGGGTTTAGAAAATAATTGCCTCTTGACAAAGTCATGTTGAAATTAATTAAAATTTTAACATAGGAGCAGCCAACAGACACATGAAAAAGTGCTCAGCCTTACTAATCATCAGTGAAATGCAAATCAAAACCACATTGCATTACCACCCAACCCCAGTAAGAATGGCCATCATTAATAAAGCAAAAAGCAACAGATAATGGCAAGGATGTGGAGAAAAAGGAACACTTCTACACTGCTGGTGGGAATGGAAAATAGTTCAACCTCTATGGAAAACAGTGTGCCGATTTCTAAAAGATCTAGAAATTGACCTTCCATATGACCCAGCAATCCCCCTTCTGGAAATATACCTGGAGGAACTCAAATCATTCTACCAAAAAGGATACCTGCACACTCAGGTTTATTGCAGCACTATTCACAATAGCAAAAACATGGAAACAACCGTGCTGCCCATCGCAACTGGATTGGAGAAAAAAAATGTGGTACGTATACACAATGAAATATTATGCAGCAATAAAGAAGGGCAAACATATGGACTGCACAGTAACTTGGATGGATTTAGAGTCTATAATACTCAGTGATTTATCACAGAAACAAAGAACTGATTACCACATGTTCTTCCTCATAAGCAAACCCTGAATGTTTACCATAATACTATAAGAAAGGAATTGGCAGTAGCAGGATACTGCTAGGGGAGGGAAGGGGTCACATAACATCATTAAGGGTACCTGATCTCAAACAGTGAAGTGGGGACCAAAAGAAGGACCAAACTTTACCAGTACAATGAGCACTTATATACCTAATCCTGAATTGCATCCCACATCTTTAAAATAAATAAATAAATAAGAATTTGTACTTTCCCATTAGAACCTCTGGTGTTTCCTTCACCTTTTCCCCAATTAGGCACCAAAGTCAGCTGTTCTGGTTTCAAAATTGCCTTTGTACTCTTTTGTCTTGTTTATTATTATTATTATTGTTATTATTATTATTAGAGATGGGAGGGGTATTGCTACGTCACCCAGGCTGGTCTTGAACTCCTGACCTCAAGCAGTCTTCCTACCTCAGACTCCTAAGTTTCTAGGACTATTGGCTCCAGCCCTCTGTGTTCTTTTGATATTAAATGTTTTTGTGTGCACATGCATGCACATGTGTGAGTGTGGGTTGTGTATATATAGATTTTTTCACCTCTAGGAACCCTAAAAAAAAAACTTGCTCAACTAATTTATTCATATTCTTTCCAAAAACTTGCTTTTTTTTTTTTTTGGTAGCAACAGCTTTATTGAAAGTAATTTATCTACTATAAAAGTCAATATTTTTAAAGTGTATAGTTCAATGGTTCTTAGTATGCCCTCAATGTTGTTCATCTGTTATCACTATCTAATTCCAGTACATTTTTATTGCCCCAGAAAGATGCCCCGTGTGCATTAGCCATCACCTGCATTCTCCCAACCTCCTCAGCCCTACACAGTCACTCACCTACTTTTTATCTTTACGGGGTTGCCTATTCTAGACATTTCATAGAAATTGAATCATGTAGTATATGGTCTTTTGTGACTTGTTTCTTTTGCTTATCATAATTTTTCATCTTTAATCCGTGTTGTAGCATGTATCGGTACTCTGTTCCTTTTTGACTGAATAATGTGTCGTTGTATGAATATACCACATTTTGTTTGTTCATCGGCTGATGAACATTTATTTATTTATTTATTTGAGTTAGGATCTCAGTCTATTGACTAGGCTAAGATGCAGTGGCATGATCACAGCTCACTGCAGCCTCCAGCTCCTGGACTCAGGCAATCTTTCCGCCTCAGTTTCCTGAGTAGCTGGGACTATAGGCATGTACCACCATGCCAGCTAATGTTTTTATTTTTTTGCAGAGGCGAGGTCTCGCTATGTTGCCTAGGCTGAACGAATATTTAGATTGTTTCTATTTTTTTTTTTACTATTAAGAATAAAGCTGGCTTTGCAGACCCGCTGCCTTGAGCCTTTTCCTATCAGCCATAGTCAACCCCACCGTGTTCTTCGACATTGCTGTCGACTGCGAGCCCTTGGGCCTCGTCTCCTTCGAGCTGTTTGCAGAGAAAGTTCCAAAGACAGCAGAAAACTTTCATGCTCTGAGCACTGGAGAGAAAGAATTCAGTTATAAGGGTTTCTGCTTTCACAGAATTATTCAGGTTTATGTGCCAGGGTGGTGAGTTTACACACCATAATGGCACTGGCGGCAAGTCCATCTATGGGGAGAAATTTGATGATGAGAACTTCATCTTGAAGCATACAGATCCCGGCATCTTGTCCATGGCAAATGCTGGACCCAACACAAACGGTTCCCAGTTTTTCATCTGCACTACTAAGACTGAATGGTTGGATGGCAAGCATGTGGTTTTTGGCAGGGTGAAAGAGGGCATGAATGTTGTGCAAGCCATGGAGGGCTTTGGGTCCAAGAATGGCAAGACCAGCAAGAAGATCACCATTGCTGACTGTGGACAACTCTAATAAATTTGACTTGTTTTATCTTAAACTACCAGGCCATTCCTTCTGTAGCTCAGGAAAGCACCCCCTCCATCCCATTTGCTCGCAGTATCCCTATAATCTTTGTGTTCTCACTACAATTCTTTGGGTTCCATATTTTCCTTATTCCCTTCCATGTCTAGTTGGATTGCAGAGAAATAAAAACTAAATAACAACAGCAACAAAAAAAAAAAAGAATAAAGCTGTTATAGACAATTAAGTACAAGTTTTAAGGTGAACATATGTTTTCAGTTCTGTTGGTTATACACACACGAGTGGAATTGCTAGATCATTGGGTAAGTCTATGTTTAACCTTTTGAGGAATGGCCAGTCTGTTTTCCAAAGTGGATGCACCATTTACATTTCCACCAGTAATGTTTGAGTTTTCCAGTTCCTCCATACTCTTGCTGACACTGATGAACACCCATCTTTCTTATTATAGTCACCCTAGTTGGTGTGAAGTGGTATCTCATTGTGCTTTGGATTTGCATTTCCCTGACAATTCATAATATTGAGTATTTCCCTTCCTTTCTTTTTTTTTTTTTTTTGAGTCGGAGTCTCACTTGGTTGCCCAGGCTGGAGTGCAGCGGCATACATGCTCATGACCACTGCAGCCTTGACCTGCTGGACTCCGGCAATCCTTCTGTTCAGT